TTAATAATCGCGATATCAAGTATTTAGGCCCATGGGCCTTTTGTCATTTAAATAAATTAAAAAATTTTGCTGTTTATGTAGAAATGACATTAAATTGAATACAAAAATATTGCATAAAAAGGAGACAAAAGGAGAAAAATACACCCCTAATACAAAAAACATGTTTTCAAAACTATGTTTTACTTAAGGAATGAATTTAATAGCTACCCATTTTATACGGTATAAACTGGGTTAGGGCAGTTTACGCTTTATAAACCGCGAAGCGGTTTATAAAAAAGCGTAAACTGTTCCAACCCAGTTTATACTGTATAAAATGGGTAGCTATTAAATTCATTGCTTATAATTTAATTTTCATTCATTTGATGTAAGAAAAAAAGATGATTGTTCTAACAAAATGACTTCAATTTGTACAAAATTTGAATGTAACGTCAGGCGGATTGATACGTTTTTGACGCAAGTCATTGTGACGTAGGCAACCCATTTTATACGATATAAAGTAATTTTTTATCCAATCAAATACAGCGTTACAACCAGAATTAAATTATTGAATTTTATTGGGAACTTTTATTACATTGCCTCAGTATTAAGAAATTTTACTGTGACAAAATGAACATCATAATGAAGGGATTCCACTGTATACCAAAACATACTCTTACGACATTGTTTAATACCTATAATACATAGAGTTAATGAACTTCAGGATTTTATTTTGTGCAAAACTCCGGGACCCATCTCTCAAAGCTTAAGTGCACTCATCTTTTGTTCAAATCATGATGCCGGGGGTAGGGTTGGGCCACATTGGGTATCATAGTTTAGCATATTAGGTATACATAAGAAAAATCAAGTCTTTTTCTCAAGAACAGCAAACCCATGATTGGTCATAATCATATGGAAGCATCCCCTGATAGTGTAGATTAAAGTTTGTGCAAATCATGATTAGTCATATTTATATGAAAGCATCCTCAGGTGATGAAGATTCAATTTTGTTCAAAACATGACCCCTTAGGGTAGGATGGGGCCACAATGATCGATCAAAGTTTTAAAATTAGGACTATATAGGAAAAATATTCAAAATTTTTCTTCTCAAGAACAGCAAAGCCATGATTAGTCATATTTGTATGGAAGCATCTGCATGTGGAGTATATTCAAGTTTTATTTGTTCAAATCATGAACTCTGGGTGTAGGATGGGACCACAATGGTTGATCAAAGTTTTACATAAGAATGTACAGGGAAAATCTTTTAAAGACCATATTGGGGGTAAGGTGGGGCTACAATGGTCGACCAAAGTTTTACATAAGAATGTATAAGGAACATCTTTTGAAATCTTTTTCTCTAGAAGAGCAAAGCCATAAATAGTTATATTTATTTGGAAGCATCCTCATGTGGTGTAGATTCAATTTTTCCAAATCATGACCCCCAGGGGTAGGTTGGAGCCACAATGATCGGTGAGAGTTTTACATAGAAAAAATCTTCTTCTTAAGAACAGAAAAGCTGTGATCGGTCTTTTTCTTGTGTGGTGTAGATTCAAGTTTGTTCAAATCAAGACCATGAGGGGGGGGGGGGGGGGGGTAGAGTAGGGCCACAACGAAAATTCAAACTCAAAGGAAACAAGTCAATTATTCATACAAAATATGCATGCATACTTAGGCCATACCAATTTCCAATATAGTTCATCGGATTCGCCACTTCTATTTTGAACAAATCCAAATTATGATATTGTGAAAATAAAATCCGCGCGCGCGTCCAAAAATATCTTGATACAATTTTTTTCTTGACTTTTTTGCACATGGAAATTTGTAAGACAGAAGTGCGGGATTTAGTTAGTTTGTTTTTACTTTGTAGCAGACTGTGAAGTTTTGCAAGATGCCTGTGTAGCTGTTCGTATGTACCAGGGGTGAGCAATTAAAATCACCCGATGCTCAGGGCTACCATTATTGGGGGTCGGGCTAGTTGTTTTCTGCAAGGAGGTAGCCCGTTGGGTTGGAAAAGAAAATAACTACACACACAATACATAACAAGCACATTCGGTATTTTCACTCGTTTTTTGCTATAAAATTCCCAACCAGTTAAAATTTTCTAGACAACATGCTCCTACTGTCAATAAATCTCCATAATCTTATCTGTTTTGCAGTTATATCTGACTTATTTACTTTCACAAACGATCGTTTTTCCTAATACGAATTTCCTCTATTCCTCCATTTATGGTAAAAACATGCAGATATCTCATTAAATTATTTACGATCACCCAATCAACTGAAAGATAAGTGTTTTGTGACTCACATAAAATATATTTCCAGTGTATTTAATGATTTAAGATGAACACAAAGTGAATTTGATTTCATTCTAAATGAGCTAGTGCAATGATCAGAAAAAGGGAAGATAATTTATTTAAATTAATTTTAATTTTATTTTCAAAATAATTCATGCATGATTAATATTGATAGTGAGAACTTTTAACTTTAATTTTAAAAAAGAATGACCTCAGTATCCTGACTTTTTCAGCAATTAATATCTTCTCAACATTAGTATTTATTTTAATTTTTATGCCCCCCTTTGAAGAAGGGAGGGCATATTGCTTTGCTGCTGTCTGTCGGTCTGTCGGTCCATTTAGTTTCCGTTCATTTTCTTCATAACTGTTGCACATACTGAAATGAAATTTGGTATACAGGTATATCAAATGAATATCTAGGTCAAGGTTTCTTTTGGGTACGATCGCACCATAATTGACAGAGTTCTGCCCCTTGGACTTAGAAAAATTCCAATTATTTGCAGTTTCCGTTCATTTTCTTTGGAGAGGTTGCACATATTGAAATGGAATTTGGTATACAGGTATATCACATGAATATCTAGGTCAAGTTCTGTTTTGGGTACGATCGCACCATAATTGACAGAGTTATGCCCCTTGGACTTAGAAAAATTCCAATTATTTGCAGGTTCCGCTCATTTTCTTTGGAGAGATTGCACATATTGAAATGGAATTTGGTATACAGATTAGTCAGATAAATATCTAGGTCAAGTTCTGTTTTGGATACGATTGCACCATAATTGACAGAGTTATGCCCCTTGGACTTAGAAAAATTCCAATTATTTGCAGTTTCCGCTCATTTTCTTTGGAGAGATTGCACATATTGAAATGGAATTTAGTATACAGATTAGTCAGATGAATATCTAGGGCAGGTTCTATTTTGGGTACGATCACACCATAATTGACAGAGTTATGCCCCTTGGACTTAGAAAAATTCCATATTTTTGCAGTTTCCGTTCATTTTCTTTTGAGAAGTTGCACATATTGAAATGGAATTTAGTATACAGATTAGTCAGATGAATATCTTTGTCAAGGTATGTTTGGGTATGATCACACCATTTTTGACAGAGTTATGCCCTTTTGGACTTAGAAAAATTCCAGTTTGTGGGGGAGGGGGGCATAAGTGTTTTTTACAAGCATCTCTTGTTGCCCCTCTATTTGGGCTAGTAACTTTTTACTTGGGGCTAGTAACTTGAAAGCTACCACTAGCCTGTGGGAAAGTACTTGATTATTTTTTTCAATTGCACATCCCTGTGTACTATACAGCTGTAGTTAAAAACATTGGGTACAAAGTAGTTCCATACACAGCAATAGAAATGGAATCGGGGGAGACGTTTGAAGCTTTAATTGTTTTATGAAACAATAAACAGAACATCATCAACATATGAAAAATACAGTACACATAAGGCTAAGTAAATATTAACGATATTTGTTCAATTAAAATGAAAGAAAATTCAAAAAGCGATGCAATTGTGATTTCAAAACCTGACATATGACCTTAACAATTTGTAAAAAATTACACAGAAAATTTGTAGAAATGAAACTATGTCAAAATTGCAATGTTACGAGAAACAAAAGAAAGAAGCATTTTTGCGTCTTATGAGTGCATCGAAAATGTATTCTTGTCCAGAAAAAAATAATACAAAAAAGAGAACTTTGAAATTTTTGCCACTAAAACTAATTATATTATTTTGAAACCTGAAATGAAAAATACTATTTGTAAAATATTTTCGCTCGCTCGCCTCACTTTTTATTTTTGAAAATCCGAAGAACTATGTTACAAATTGGTGTGGCCTTAGTGTACATTTAATTTTGTTCAAATCATATCCCTTCTTCGTTTTAGGGGTAGGTAGGGATCACTTATGCAATTAAGTATTTAAAACTATACTGTTTTTTTTCTTAGCCAGTGCTCAGGTGATCGATGTGGCCCCTGAGTCTCTTGTTTATGTTCAGGATATTTATGTTGGAATGCATGTACATACATGAAGCAAATCGATAGATGATTCTACTTTGAAAAAATATTCAACACATGCCAACAATGTTGTCTCTCTCTCCCTCTGTACATGCTTGTGACATCACACGAGTCAGAAAGTGCATTTTCAATCATAGTGTTTTAACTTGTTAAGTATGTGCGACTTTTTGAACAAGATTAATTTTTTGCATGAAGACTTTCTTTGGAAATCTCTTTTACATGACATTGTGTAAATATCTTTCTTGTTCATAGCATCGCGGGTATATAAAATCCTCACTAACTGTGTCCAAAATGTCACTTTTTGACATTTTCTTGTAAACAAAGGCACTTTAAACCTTTATTTTTCTGCATGTTACTTAAAATCAATATATCAATATACCCTTAAAAGAAAAATATAAATTCTATTCTTTTAAAAAATATCAATTTCATTAAGGTTTATTGATGTTTAAATTTTTAGCAAAAATGGGGGCAAAAATGTAAGGGAAACCATATACAGTAAACGTATTACATTTGGCTTTGTATTCTTTTTAGCACCTTTGGCGGATAGAAACTTTAGCTAATTCAAGTACACCCTAAATGTCTTGCACATATACTCATAAATAAGTACATTAAAGAATGCGCTAAATCAAATCTCCGCTAACTTGTTCAAAACTTAGTTTCCGCCAAATATCATACACGCCAAATATAATACATTTACAGTATAGTTCTTTTGTGTCATCTAGATCTAATTCACCGAAGAGATCTCGATCCTCATCTAGAAGATCAAGGTCACCATCATATAAAAGCAGTCATCAAGACAAATATTCCAGATCCAAAAAGTCAAAGAAAAGAAGAAGATCAAGATCAAAGTAAGCTTTAAAAGATTGTGTTGCCGGCAGCTCATGCAAAATCCAAGGAAATTTGGTACATATATTTTTTTTAGCTTTTCTGAGCCAAAGGCTGAAAGAGCTAATGCTATGGCCATTTGTGTGGTGTGCGTAAACTTTTGAGGAAATGGGCTTTAACTTGAGAATCCCTTGGACAATCATTTTCAAATTTCTCACATGGCATCCTTGTCCCAAGGGCTTCCATTTTTACTAAAACTAGGATAGTGACCCTAAACAAGAGGAGTTAATTGGGCAAATAAAACCAAAAGTACAGGTTGCTAAAAAATCTTCTCAAGAACACCCAGGCAGAGGCATATTATCACAAAACTAACATACAAGGATAAGGATATGTTGAAGATTAAAAATAGTTCAAGGCTTCATCCTGAGTTAAAGGGCATGATCTCAAGGTCACTTCAAAGTTGTCCAAAAATTAAACTTTATAAAAACATTGATATTTTGCTTACTTTTAAGAGAAGGATCATCAAATCGTAAGATGATGCATCTTATGACTTCGTATCATGTTAACTTAAGGTAGGTCGCGGGTTTACTCCTTAAAAATTCTTGAGAGAAAACATATCCTAAAGATTTGATATAATGATCCTTAGAATTTACTGCGCATTATCTGCAATTTTCATTGATTTGCCTACGTAGTTTTAATGCTATGTTACTGTAAACGCGGTATAGATTTTAGTACTTTTTTTACGCTTTACTATTGAAACATATGGAAAAATGACGTTTTTAAGCCAATTCTGTGTAAATAGTTTCTTTAAAAAAGGTTGAATAACTTTTAAAAGACGTAGACGAATTAGTCAGGAATTTCAAAATGTCAAGATGAGGTAAAATCAAAACTATTGATATAAAAAAATCAATATGTCTTCTCACTAGATTTTTAGCTCACCTGAGCCAGAGGCTCAAGTGAACTTTTCTGATCACATTTTGTCCGGCGTCCGTCTGTCAGCCTGTCTGTCTGTCTGTAAACTTTTCACATTTTCGACTTCTTCTCAAGAACTGCTGGGCCAATTTCAACCAAACTTGCCACAAAGCATCCTTGGAGGAAGGGGATTCAAGTTTGTTTAAATGAAGGGCCACGTCCTCATTCAAGGGGAGATAATTGGGAATTAATGAAAATTTGGTGGTATGTTTTAAAAATCTTCTTCTCAAGAACCACTGTGATAGGAAAGATGGAACTTATAGGGAAGCATCCTCAGGTAGTATAGATTCAAGTTTGTTCAAATCATGACCCCCGGGGGTAGGGCGGGGACACAATATATAGGCTTTAAAATCTTCTTCTCAAGAATTACAAAGCAAAATTTTACATAGAAATATATAGGAAAATATATATATAAAAGTCTTTAAAAGTCTTTTTCTCAAGAATAACAAAGCCATAATTGATCATATTTATGTGGAAGCATCCTCAGGTAGTGTAGATTCAAGTTTGTTAAAATCATGACACCCGGGGGTAGGGCGGGGACACAATGGCCGACCAAAGTTTTACATAGAAATATATAGGAAAATTCTTTAAAAATCTTCTTCTCAAGAATTTCAATGCCATAATTGATCATATTTCTATGGAAGCATCCTCAGGTAGTGTCGGTTCAAGTTTGTTCAAATCATGAACCCCAGGGGTAGGGCGGGGACACAATGGCCGACCAAATTTTTACATAGAAATATATAGGAAAATTCTTTAAAAATCTTCTTCTCAAGAATATCAAAGCCATAATTGATCATATTTATATGGAAGCATCCTCAGGTTGTGTCGGTTCAAGTTTGCCCAAAACATGACCCCCGGGGGTAGGGTGGGGCCACAATGGCCGACCAACGTTTTACATAGAAATAGGAAAACTCTTTAAAAATCTTCTTCTCAAGAATAACAAAGCCATAATTGATCATATTTATAAGGAAGCGGTAGTGGTTCAGTTAGTTCAAATCATGCCCCCGGGGACACAATGGCCGACCAAAATTTTACATAGAAATATGTAGGAAAATTCTTTAAAAATCTTCTCAAGAATAACAAAGCCATAATTGATCATATTTATTTGAAAGCATCCTCAGGTAGTGGTGTCTGAGGCGGATCAAGCAAATTTAAAAAGCTTGAAGAATCAAGACAGGAAGAGATCTTCCAATCGTGTAAGATGGAAAAAAATATCAATAAAAATAATATAAATCAATCATGCTTGATATTCCCACTTTGTTACAAAATATGATTTTAATATTGTTTTAAAATATACCCAATCAGTAATGAAAAATTTAGAATACTTTGTTACACAAAATATGATTTTAATATTGTTTTAAAATACACCCAATCAGTAATGAAAAATATAGAATACGTACAACATTATTCGATTTAAAAAAAAAATAGAAGAGGACGTGTGTCCAGCCAAATGATCCATTGTGTGAGAAGGGGGGAGGGTGTCAGACTGTCGATAATTCGGACTGTTCTGATATATAAAAAAGATTTATTTTATTTTATTTATTTTTTTTTTTTTTGCTAACTTGTAAAGTTAGATGTTTCTCTCCTGTCCATTTTTCCTTGAAAATAAATGATAACTCATATTTTTCATTCAATTCCTCCCTCTATTATGAAACTATCGCTTCATTCCAAAAGTCTTGACGAGAAACAGATTTTCTCATTATGATCAAATTCGTATGGTACGTGTTGTATGGTACATGATTGCGTGGAAATTATGACTCCAGGGACTTTCCCCACCTTTCACTTTATTTTAAAAGCAAGGTTTATACTTTTAAATCGGAATTTTACAAAACATATTACATGTATTATTTGATTAATAAAGAATAGTAGAGTTTTTTTTATATGCATAAAAATAAAAGACACAGTTTGATTCTGCATGGCAATAATTGGTGTATGCTTGAATGCCATGAATGTTGAAACAGGGAAAAAATCTTGATGGAACTATGGGATTTACTTAAGAAAAAAAGATTTAATGGATGCACACCCCGCACTATACCAGTGCGTGTACTTGCGTGATTTTCATCTTACTGCAGATTCTGATTTCTCACCGACTTGATAAACACTTCACAGTTTCCTCTCCTCTCTTATTTTGAGATCTTTACTTGGTCTCCTGTTTTCCAGAGAAACTTTTATAAGAAACTATTGAAGAAACAAAAAACACAGTTCGCAAGCGAGAGATTCCCTGATTCTATGGAGCAGATGGAAAGTTGAATAGCGAAGTGTATAGAAACGCCGGAAAACTGGAAATTGATCCTTCTGCTCTCTGTTCACCTTTTTACTTTGGACCCCCCCTCCCCCCCAGGAAACTCGGACCCCTTTTAATTTAAGTTGTTCTGATTCTGCATAATAGTTATACGTTAATTTAGATAAAAAATTTGAACTCAAATAACCTTATATGATGTTTATAAAGTTAAATTGCAATTGCTTTATTTGTGTGTAATTGTGTTGAATGTTAATTAATATCATCTGTTGCACAGAGCAGGAAGAAGAGATATATTAGATGATGTATTTAGTGTTTTAACTTCTATTCATTTCAGTCCATCTCTTCCTTGCTCTTTTCTTTGCTTGTGTTCGTTGATCTCCTTCTTATTCCGACCGCTTGTCTGTCTTTCTGTCTTTAACACTTTCGTTTCCACAAGATATCTCGATACATTTGAATCTTTGAGAGTTTACAATAAAATTTGACATAATAACTACAGACAGTACCAGCCATAGAAAAAAAATATTGCGTACACAAAGTTAGCGCCCAATTCTTAATTAATTTTGTTCAAATTCCCACCTCAACTGTACATACAAAAGCTATATATTTCAAAACACTCCTTTTGACCCCTATTTTCTACTCTCATATAAAATATCTGTACTAAGCCCATTGGGCCGAATTATGTATCTTGCTTTTCAAAATGGCAGTGTACATATAGGCAAAAATTTTGATTGTTTTCAATTTCAGGCCCAGGAGGGCTATGTACAACGGTTGTTGCCAGAATTCTTTGAGAATTTCAAAATATAAAAAAAAATTGAAACTTATTTGAAACCCTCTTTAAAAAGAGTGTAGACTTAATAAATGGATGGACTTAACGCCATATTGCGGATCTTTTAGAGAGTACTAAACCAAGCTGTAAATGAAGTGAATCCAAAATATTTTACAAGCAATTTTCATTACCGCTACATATATAGTCATTACCACTACAAAAAACATTACAGTACCGCTACAATGTCTATTTCGTTAGCCAGCCACTTGCGCAAGTTCAGATTGATGTAAAATACAACATGCATAAGACCTGTATCCCCTGAAATACAAAATCTCACATTCACACCTGACTCCAAAATATGTACAAATCATGGACTAAGCAGTGGCAGATTTAAGGGGGGGCGCACCTGGTAGACCTCATTTTTACCCTACAAAATCTCTAGAATCCAGGAGCTTCCGGCGGCCCCCAGCCCCCTCTAACTTCAATTCCTGGATCCGCGCCTGCTATAAGTATTATATTCAATTATTTGAAGCAGTTCATGCTTACATGGCAGCAACCTAAGTAAACATTTTTTTTCACACTGCCATATCTTGTTATAACTTCTGTCGATATTGCCAAAAATTTAGAATAGAACAGTTACTGTAAAACATCGCGCTGAATTCTTTGTGAAGGCTTTGTGATTGGAACTTATATGCCATACCTGCATATATACCTGGCTGATTCAATGTGTAGCGGTAATGAGTTGTTTTCCACTGGAAAAAGTATAGCGGTAATGATCGGTCGAAAATTTGGGAAAATGTAGCGGTAACGAGTTGAAAATTTTGGCGATGTAGCGGTAATGTTGACCTCCCAGAAAGAGCAACGAATACTTAAGCTGCAGAACCACAACTTTCCGAAAAATATATATATTATATCGATGGACTGGAGAGCTACAGAGCCACGTATGTGGCATAATTCACTTTGAAAATTTTTTCAAAGTGCTATAAAATTAGGACAAAATCAACGCACTTTGAAAAAAAAATTCAAAGTGCGTTAAATTTGGG